GTCGTACTACGCGAAGCTCTTGGGAGAGCTCAACGAGCAGCGCAAAAGGGACTTCTTCTGCGACTGCAGCATTATCGTGGAGGGGAGGATCTTCAAAGCGCACAAAAACATCCTGTTCGCCAACAGCGGCTATTTCCGAGCCCTGCTGATCCACTACATCCAAGACAGCGGCCGCCACAGCACCCCCTCGCTGGACCTTGTCACCCCCGCGGCCTTCTCCCTCATCATCCTCGATTTCCTTTATTCCGGGAAGCTGGATCTCTGCGGGGAAAATGTTATCGAGGTGATGTCTGCGGCTAGCTATTTGCAGATGACCGACGTGGTCAACTTCTGCAAGACCTATATAAGGTCGTCGTTAGATATTTGCAGGAAAATAGAGAGAGAAGTTGGTTTCTATCAGGCTGATAGCGGGAGCGCTAGTTCTGCGAGAGAGGGCACCTCGTACGGTTCCAAGAGCCAGTGCTCTGCCTCTGTCTCTTCCCTGCAGGATAAGGAAGGGGTTTCGGATTGCCAGAGAGCCCCTCCGTGCGGCGACTGCAGCGACTGCCACCCCCTGGAGCTGGTGGTCAGAGACCCTGGAAGCAGCGACTCCCCAGACGACGTGAATTCTTCGCTGCCCAAGGGAGGGGAACCCAAAGTAGAGTTTGACTCCGATGAAGTCGAGGTGGAAGTGGGCGAACGGCTGCCGCAGTACCCGACGCCGCTGTCCCTCGAGCAGATGGAAGAGGGGCTGCACGGCGGGCAGGCGATGGACCTGGCCTGCAATAACTATCACATGAAACAGTTCCTAGAAGCCCTGTTGCGCAACAGCTCGGCTCAGAGAAAGGATGATGTGGTTCATCACTTTGTCCGGGGCTTTGAGGGTAGGCCGGAGGATGCAGGGGTAGGCATGAATTCCATGATGGACATTCACAGCGACTGGTATGGTGAGGACACAGGTGAGAGGACTCTGGGGGGGTGTAGTCTGTACAGTCGAGGAGGAAACTGCTCAGTCGTGTGACTTCCTTTGTTACTCTCATTCTTGTTCAGGAATATATTGCTGAATATTATGCCGTAGCAAAATAAACTATTGTTCTGGACGTCAAAAGAAAGCTGTACTCGTTTATTCAGTGCAGCATTTGGGAGGTAAGTATTTCTAACAGCTTTGACGGCCTCTTTGAAGCAGATCCCGGAGCTTGGTGTTGGTGCCACTGCTTTAATAAACAATCTCTTTTGGGAACTTGTTGAAGGGCAGGTGCATTCTTAAAAAGAATCTTCCTCTCGTAACATTAACGTTAGAAAGAGTAATCAGAAAGCTGAGCAGCCACAAGAGGGATCTGCTGTAGCACCTGACGGAGCACGGGTGGCTCATTCCCCTGGAGCTCCTGCAGGCTCGTGGGTTGGTGGATAATACTCTGTTTGCTCTTACTTACCTTGAATTTCAAAAGGGCGGAAATGGGTTTTATGCAATACTGAGTGATACACACAAGTTTTTTAGGAGCACTGAAAGCTTTAAACTCCATGGTATTGCATAAAGAGGAGAACTTTTACCTCTAGAGGCAGACTCGTTTTTCAGCGGCTGGTCACCTGAGGTTCCGCTGCTTTCCCAAGCCCAGGCCTGTTGGGATGTCTCACACTGGCAGGAATAACTTCCAGCAGCAGCAACAGGGACCTGGAGAAGAAGAAGGTCGTGTCCATATGCATTGCTCCTCAGTTGGACCATAAGGATTTGGGCATTTTATCTGCTTTCGGCAACGTTGGCATGTGACTTGCCTCATCCAAACTGCCTTACGAAGACGGAAGGTGGCTCTGACAAATGCTGCAAGTGCCATCGTTGCTCAGGATGGGACAAATGGAATAATGGAGTGGGCAACACAGGAAATCTTTCACTGAATGTTCTGCTCTAGATAGCAAGCTTGCACTCGTGTCATTTCCTGCTCAAGTGGGCATGTGATCATAAAGCTAATAAACCCAATATTATTTCTTACTGCTTTAAGATAAGGATTCTGATAAAATCACAACTCCAGGCCTACAGTCACCAAAAGACCAAAGTTATCAGACGAAAGTGCTGTCACCACATCGTGCCTCTGGGTTTTGACGTGTAGCAAGGCAAGAGCATCTCACACACGAACTTTGCTTGTTTTTTTCCTCTCTTAAAATCTTTGGACTGTTGATGGATTGTTAAGAGGGAAGTGCTTCTAGAATTCGATGGAGAACCCCAGCTGTTAGGACACTGTAGTAGAAATGTTAATGGTAGCTGTGCTTTAAACGGGCCTGGGGAAAATCCTGAACCTCGCATTAGTTATGTTTCTCTGCTAAAACTGAACATCATAAGCTTTTAGTGGAATGGAAGTGTCTCTTCTCGGGTTTTACTGGTCCTGCTATTTTAGCATTTTCACAAGGCACCAGGAATGAGAAGTACAAAGTGCTGATAAAAGAATGGTTCTCTCGTGCATTCAGGTTGATGGATGAGATAAACCCCACTTACTTTCAAACATCCACATCTGTTCCAGACGTCCTGGTCCCCTTCACAGCTGATGGAGAGTGAACAGGCACCTCTGGAGAGCTTAGAACCAAGGCAGGTCTAAGAACTGGTCTTCTTTCTTTTTCTTTTTTTTTTTTTTTAACGGAGGGATTAGCCTTGTGAAGGTCCAAAACTGCGTGAGATGAATTTCACTTGATAGCCACACATTAATACTAGACACTTCTCTTTTTTGCGACTTGTTTGGACAAGTTCAAGGAATATTCTACAGCCCCATCGTCTTTGCTGTAACTGTTAAAGAGCTCAAGGCTTGATACGCAAACAATTTCCCGAGTCAGCACCTGGAACAGGGAAAACTAACGTTTTAGTATAATACCTCAATCTTTATGCTGGAAGGTCGGGTCTGGGCCGCTACTCAAAAAGTTGGCAATATCCGTGTCTGTGTAAAATGTGATCTTCAAATTTAATTCTCTCTTTCTGCATCTGACTTCACAAATGACATATTGCTTGTGGGCATGTAGTTTCATTTTAGAGAAGGAGAAATACCATCAGCAAATGTATTGAAGTGCTTCATCTTGTTATTACCACTAGAAAGGCTGAAGTGAATGGCGGTAGAAAAAAAGCTGAGTATTTTGAGATGTATTCCCCACATCTAAATTTATGCACTTTGTTAAAGCACATGGGAATCATTGTGCTACTTCTACCTGTAATTTGTGTTAAAGATTTTAGATTCTAATGCCATTTAACGCTAATGGTATCTTAAAAAAAAAAAAAAAAAGATACTTTCTATGGCTGAGAGAGTGCAGAGGCCCCACTGCACTAAAAGCAAAATTTTGGCGCTTAATTAAATGGCTTCTTAAAATAAAATTAATTTGGTTTTCTGTTGTGAGCACGCTCCCATCGAGTACGAGCTATGTAAGCACGGGCAGGCTGATTTTCAAGGGACTTGATGAGCTCCAGCAGTGCCTTCTGCAACTGCACAACCCGCAGAAATCCCAGGTAAGCCAAGTACAAGGAGAGGGGAAAGCGCAATTATCTTGACTCAGGTTTGCAGCAAGGAGGGTAAGAAGCCGAGAGAGGCAGCGCTGGTGAACCCCCGAACCTAACGCGTTGTGTTTTTCTTCCAAAAGGTGACGTGTTAGTTGTGCCCATCAAGCTTCACAAGTGTCCGTTCTGCCCCTACACGGCTAAACAGAAAGGAATCCTCAAACGGCACATTCGCTCCCACACCGGGGAGAGGCCCTACCCCTGCGAGACGTGCGGGAAGCGTTTCACGCGGCAGGAGCACCTTCGGAGCCACGCTCTAAGCGTAAGTTTGACAGATTCTGTCTATCGGGAATTTTGTTTAGAATTTTTTGGCCTTTCCTGATCGCCTTTCCCAAAATACAGCGGGCAAAATGATCGTTGCCAGTGTGAGGGGAACTTTTCTAACACTAGGTCTGAGCCACTGATACTTGGTTCATCCGTATTTATGGAGCCCCAAATCTTCGTCGCTGTAAATGTGGTGGGATCATCTGCCCTTTTTCTTCAGCGTGTTCCTGTTTGAGGAACGTACGCAAACCAGCACCGCAGAAAGAGCTAAAGCACGGTGGCAGATCGGCTTTCTCACCGCGGCGTTTTATTTTTAACCTCAGGTGCATCGCTCAAACAAGCCAATTATCTGTAAAGGCTGCAGGAGAACCTTCACGAGCAGCTTGTCTCAAGGGTTACGACGCTTTGGCTTGTGCGACAGCTGCACCTGCGTGACCACGACCCACGAGGACTCGATGCCCATTAACCTCAGCCTGATGGAGCCTTCGTCAGAAGGCCGAGAGAAGGGCGACGCCGATAACGACTGGCCCATATACGTGGAGTCTGGAGAGGAAAACGATCCGGCTGATGACGACGATGCCGATGGTGATGACAAGCGGGAAATCCACAGGAGCTTGTCAGACCGAGAAACACTTATGTAGCAGTGAGAGGAGAGCGGGAGCACGTCAAGCGTCTCCCTGGCAGCGGTCGGGCTGCCAGAGAGAACTGTGTAATTGCCCAGCCCGTGAGACTGTGCTGGTTTTTTATCATTCCGTTTTTTAAGAGTGGGGACAATTGGAATTTTAAATGCTTTTAAGTTTTCAGTGCTGTGCACCAGAAATCTGTGAAGGATCTTCTGTCTGGGGTTCAGAGAGATTGTACCCGAGCAATTTCCAGTGGTGTCTCTGCCTCCGCATTTTGATTTTGCAGGTGGGACACCTCTGTGTTGTTCTGATAACAGGTTTCTTCAGATAATGCTGTCATGGTCCTTTATCTCTGACCTGAAAGGGGCACTGTCTCCTGTTGGAAGATTACATTAAAAGAAATGCAATTTTCAGCCATTACCTTGAACTTTGCTAAACTAAGCTGTGATCCTTCTGTATCAGGACAGTATTATCTAAACTGTAAACCTTAAATGTTTGCTTAGACTGGATTTGACCTGGAAACCAGGGCAGATAAACCAGGATTAACAAAAATATGCTGCTGCTGAAAGCATAGACAGTAAGAATAAATATATTTCACATGTCTTTAAGTGCAGGTATTTAGAGAATGAGCTTCTCTTTCTGAATTTTTTACCGCATCTTCCTCTCTCAAGAGCTCAGACTACAGATGTTCAGATGTGTCTTTAACGTTATTTAGACATTGAGTAGTCTTGGCTTAAGGAATGTTAAGCACACATAATGGTGTCTAATGTCCTGGTCTCTCAGTTCAGACTAAGTGAACTGCCCAGTTTACTTCAGCTTTTTATGGTGTAAGTTTAGTCAGTTTGACAGTCAGGTTAGTTGGGAATTCTGATTCTGGTTGATTAAATGACCAGATTTACAGCTGATGTAGCCAAGGAGTGGTTAAATATCGGAGCTATGCTTAAAAGCCAGCTCTAAATACCCTTTTTGAAGCAGTTGGGTAGGAAACCTCAGAAATTTTTGTATGTAAATTCTTTTCTTTATCTTTTACTAGATTTTCTTTTAGTCTTGAGTGATCCTTCTCATGGTTTGTGTTGTGTGAATTTATCCAAGTACTGTTTGGGGTTTTTTTAAAAACTTCACTGGGTACCTCATGTTTCTTTGCCGGAATAGATAGAGAGTTAAAGGTTGGCTTTCAAAGGAGGTGAGATTTTTATTTATTTTTAACTTTCCAGTACCAAGTTGATAAAAGGTATCAAAAACCAAACTGGGAAACTTTAGAAGAGAACGCACCACTAACAGGAAAGCCTGTTTGCTGGTGGGTAACCTACTGCTTCCTAATGAAGAGACAAAACTTGAAATATACTGTGAAATAAGACTGTTAATGCTTCTTTACTGTGTTGTTCGCAAGTATTTCATGAAAAGGCAAATTGTATGAGTCTTTCTAGCTGGAGTAAGTGCTGGATCAGAAGCCCGTAGACAGCCCCTTCTGACAAAGGCTGAGCAGTTCCTCTCCCTTAACAAGGCAGTGCTTCTGGAGGTTTGTAGTATAAAGCCTTTAGGTGGAACCTAAATAACCAAAGAGCTCTCTGATTTAACCAGGGTGCGTTTTTTTGCATAATTTCTGGTTTTATGTTACGTACCAAAAAAGAACAATTCGGCTTCTCCATCTGCTTCATCCTACAGTGAAACAGTAGTCCTGCAGGGATGTCACAGTTTACTTGTAAGAGGTGACTTCTGAAAAGAGCACAAGGTAAAGAGACTTGGAAAGGTCTGGTCTAATATCTTGGTGAGTGCCGCCTTTGCAGGAAGATTCTGGCGTCACGTGCTACATTTCTGTCATTTGAGTTGCGTAAGCTTTCCGTAGTCCCTCTTCCAGGTGATCTGCAAATTCGAGTTTGTAATAGCTGAACAGTGTCGCGGTGACATACATCATCGTAGAAGAATCTCCCTGGGACGAGATCTTTACAAGGCGTCAGGCTTCATAGCCCCTATTTTAGTCATCTAAATTAAGACCATCAAAGAGACAACTCATGTAGATGTCAGATTCGGAGCTGAGCTCCTCTGAAAATCCTGCTGTGCTTTTGAGTCCTTAGCCCTTTCAAAAATCAGAGCGAAACATGGGCTTGTCAATCTTGACAATGCCACCTCCAGCCTAGCAGGGCTAGTCTTTTGAACTACTATATTTTTGTGAAGTCCATCCAACATCAGAGGGAATTATTTTTCTTTTTCCACTATCTGCTTATCTGTTAAAGGACGGATTTCGGCATGTGAGAACACCTGTGAGGACCTGGAAGAGAGTCACAGATTATCTGGGTTTGTCGAGAGACTAACTTGCTAATGAAAGTGGAGTACGAATGTAAATAGGGATCTGAAATTCTATGTAGTGTCAGGCATCCCAACTTTTTCTGGTCATTCTAGCACGAAGATGCCACCACATTGTAAATATCGGTAGAAGCCAGTAGACGTGGAATATCAGCTGAGCTGCGGTTCTGGCTTAAACTGTCAGAAGATTTAGCTTCTCGCACGTTGGAGCTGTGCTGAGGTGCGGGCTAGCTAACTCTGCAACCGTGAGGACGTTCGGAGTAGGGAAGATCAACCTCTTGCGGAAGTCTGGACGTAGTAAGAGGTGCGGGAATGGCTGCAGAGACCTTCGGCGATTTGACTTGAGCCTGCTTTCTTTGGTCTTAGAGATTGTTCTTGTGTGTCTTGTGCGTAGAGCCTGGAGCTGTGTCAGGGTTTGTGTAGCACTGGGGAAGGGGTGGGGGTGGGGGGGGGCGCCGTTCACGTTCCCGGTTGACAGTGACCACCAAAATCGTTGTTTCCTGTTGATCTGTCATGTTGTGCCGCTTCGTTTGCAGTGGGGTCCTTCAGCCTTTGTATTTAGAGGAGGATGTAGTTGATCCACTTTCTTGTGACCCGATGTTCATGTAAATCTGTTTGCTGTGCTTTTCCACTTCAGTTTTTGGATGTTTCTTCCTGAAATCTTCCATTGTAGATCCAGCCTCTACGAGCTTTGAGAAAATGATATTTCAAAATATTCCTATGGTGCTTAATGGGGAATTGAGAATAATGTTTTTAGGAAAGTTATTTCTAATAGAATCTCTTTCTCAAAGTTTTTTAAAGGCCGTGCAGACTACTTATCTTAAAGTCTTGGCTCTCCGTAACTGACTTTGTTTAGGAGTGTATGTTTTAACGTATTTTGCACACAATTGCACTCGATTTCCCTGAAGGAATACGAGCTGCACTGGTACTCGTAGCGCATTTAACCTCCTGGTGCAAGCCCTTGTAAATCTTCCAAATGTGGTCATTTAATTTACTGATGTTTTGTAAGGCAGTTTCATAACTGAAGTCCTTTAGTCTAGTTTAAACAACAAATTCTTATAAACCGAACCTTATTTGTAGAAGTGACTTAACTATATTTGTGGATCTTGAAGCGTTCTGGAGCTTTTTAATTGTCTAGAAAAATAAAACTCTCTGAGAGGGTTGTTTTGATTTTTTTTTACCGTTCAAAAGTTGACTGAGTAAACTGGAAAGTGTCTAGATTGAGGCTCACATTTCAATTTCTGAGAATTAATATTATTATATCCATTTCTGGTGACACACAGTTGGCAAGCAAGAATCAAATTCTTGGTGGGAAAGGATTAAACGGATGCTGTCTACTTAAACCCCAGCCAACTGTTTGGTTTTTTTAAAAATCTTTTATATTATTAACACTGACTTTGTTTTCTTACCAGCTTTTGTAGGTTTATAATCATGTTAACTTTTTACACTCTTTTTAAAGCCTTTCATTTTTCACGCCGGGTGAAAAACTGGGAAGCCTAGCTCGAAGAAAACGCTGTCAAATGCCTACAATAAAACGTATGCAAGCGCGGGGAAACAGACTCCCAAATATTCTTTCTAAATAATTCTGAATTATATTGGATATTTCAGAAACAGACTTTTTTAAACTTGCTTTACAGACTATGATAATTAAAACCTGCATTTACCTGTTGATTTAGAATATCCTGAATCAATGAAAAGTTTAATAACCCCTTCTTTCTTCTCCCTGTTTTCATTCAAACAGTGAAATCTGCTAATTTTTATTGGGATTTTTAGTTTATACGGTTTTGTTTCAGAAGTGCCTGGGAATTAGTAGTATTTCAAAACTTTATGATTGCATTTTTTAAAATAATTAAAAAAATAGGATTAAAAACTTTTTGGATCCAACTTAAGCTGACAGTGCCCTTTAATGTGCACATAAAAATTGCATTTCTGCTCTTAAAGGCCACTGTTAACATGCCAACCGGATAACTGAAGGCAATCTGGAGTTTTCTTTTTACTGGATTGTTTGAAATTCAGATTTTCTACGCATCTAGAAATGAGAACATAAGGGGCACGAAGCTTTTAAAACCCTGCCAGCAGCTCTGTCCATACCCGCACACGTGGCGCTCGTGCCCACACGGAGCTGCTTTTAGCTCTGGAGTTGCAGTTCGGATGTCGGCACCAGGGAATACAGCAATTCCTTAGATTTTTTATTAAATAGTTATAGGCAGGTGTCTGGATACTAGTAAATTTAAAAAAAAAACCAACCCCAAACTTCTCCAGACAGTGTCCTGTCCAGAGCAGCTTTACACGCCATCCCCAAATATCCAAAGGTGCCGTACACGGCTTTCAACTTTGGGCTGCCAGATGTAAAATATTTTAACTGTCAAAAAACATGACTCTGTACTTCTTACGTGCTTTCAGCACAAGCAGCTGAGTAGCCAGTCCCGCGGTGAAAGCTCAGGCGCGATTGGTCCCGCTGATGACGAGACCAGCCCTATCTTCATTTTTAGCTGCTGCTTCTGTTTGGGTTGGAGGGGAATTGCGTGAACACAAATTTAATTCTAGAGCCGTGCTGTTGATTTTTCTGATTCTGTCCTGTTGGGTTGTTAATAACTAAGGTATGCAAGCTCTGACCCAACGCAGTGGGTATGAGTCAAACAAAAATAGGAATCTTGCATTGAAAAAAGAGAAAGAGGAAAACTAGGGAGGGAGAGAAGGGGTTGATCCAGTGC